CCTTTTTTTTTTTGGTTTACTGCACTACAAACAGGTCCAGCCATGGCTACACTCTCTCTCACACACACACAAGCATCCACTTGCAAGTTTAAGATAAATGTATTGTGTAAATCTGGGAAGCTGGGTGACTAGCACCATTGGCTAGGTCCTTATTTGTTATGATGATCCTAGAATTTATAGTTAATGCAGCATGTTATTCAAAATCAGACAAAAGTAAAAGAGGTCTGTTGGTCAGACAAGTTGAATAATTTATGTAATTCGTTTCAGATTTAAGAGTACCATGCCTCCATTACCAGAGATTGACAAAGATGACTCGGACACACACTAGAATATCATTCCCAAGAAAGGTACAACTCTTATCATCAACAACCGCCCAATTCCATGCATGACAGCAGCAAGACATAAAAGAGTGATTAGTTAACTAACCTTCAGGTTACCACAAATTGTTTGTGTGAGTGCTGAATTGAGAGTTGTGTTTAGGAAGATACTGTAATTCAAAAAGAATGCCAGGATACATGAAAGAAGCAATACAGCCTGCTCAAGAGAAGCAGAGTTATCACCACTTTTGTCAAAACACTCTACACAAATAAGTGCACTAAAACAAGAAAATGACAGAATTAAAACAGCTTTATGCTTCAAGTGATTCATGCTGGTAGAAAGACAAGATACCATAGTGCTTGCAACACCAGCACATTGATAAGCTCGGTTAAGAGGGTGAATTTTGAACTTCATTAACACCCAAATAAAATGTAAGAACTGAATTGCAGTGGGTTGTCAGAACATCCCCATCAATACCAGTAATGAATTGGAACCAGGCATGGGCAAAGACACATGACCATTGGTGCCTAAGAATGTAGATTTTTTCCACTCAATTCCTAACTAATTCAGCACAGATTTGTACAGAGAATTAGGTGTTATAGCATAAGGGCAGCTACACTAAAAGTACATTTAAGACTTCCGAAGACTAAGCTACCATGCTTGGTTAAAACAAGGGGAAAAGGGGACTTTAAGAATTACCAAGAAACCAGGGGAAAACAGATAAGGGAAATTTGTTGTCATCCCCAAATCGCCACGGATAAATGTCCAAAATAATAAAACCGGTCCACATATAATTCCTGTAATGGGAAAAGCAACACAATGTACAATTTCAGGTAAAGGGCAGAAAAGTCTGGAGCACATGAAAATAAATGCAACAGATTACAAATTAATTTAAATATCTTCACTTACCATTGCACCACATAAGGCCAAAGCTATTTAGGCCACTGGATTTCCCTGGGAAAAAGAACATATTAGCCACTATACAAAGAGGGATGTTAAGCTAATGAAGAGAAATTCCAAGAAGAAAACAAGTGTGAGTACTACCAATACGGCTTATGGTTGCCAGATATATAGCCGTTGTAAAATTGGCTGCGAAGACAACAGCATAGCCATAGAAGTCAAATGACAAGTCCCGTGCTCCAGCAATAAATGCACCAAGAACTATCAACCCAACACTGGTAATATCCTTAACCTTTTCAGTTAAATGAAGCAATAAAAAATTACAATGGAACAGTAGTTATTTCCAGTGGCAAAATCCATATTGAAGTTTCTATCAAATCAGATATTTCGATGCAGAAACAGGACAATCAAAATGAAGGAGAAATTAAAATGAAGAAAAAAAGAAGTCAGTTCTATTCCTTCAAGCTCTTTCTTTTCTGTTCTGTTCTTTTTCCCACAAAATACACCCATTAATCAAGCTAGTGCAAATCCAGAGAGATTTTGTAAGTGTAACACAACCTTAATGGACATGTCAACTTAAATTTTTGGACAAAGTCATAATAGTGGATGAAGAATATTACAATTTAAATTGCTCGCAAATAATATTTTGCTAGAATAGCTACAATAAAGGACCCTTTACCTTCCAAAAATTGGACGTGTATATCTTTGCCCTGCCAGAATATACTCCGTTATCATTGTAAATACCACTGTTGTCCGCCTTAGGGTGGTATACATGGGAACATTTACCCCACGGACAGACTCCATTGTAACTAGCTTTCATGGGGAAACAGCAGAAGAGGTAGAAATTAATTGCAAGTGAAAATTCAACGAGGTAAGAAACCTATTCAACGTTACACACTAACATACCATGTAAAACAAATAAGTCAATGCAAGAGGTAGGGTGCGCATAAATGTCTCCAGTGGTAAAAAAGTAGTGTTGGCATCAGAAGTAGTTAAAGATCCACCATCAGTGAAAGATATAATTCTCCAGCGTCTCAATGCATACAGAAAAGAACATGAGCATATCATCTGTGTGGAACCAAAACAAGAGCGTGAAATGTGGCTATAATGTTGCCAAGACAGCCATTGACAATAAAGGCATAAAACACATAAAACATTTTGATTAAAATGGCGAATAATAAAATGCAACATGTAAGCTCAGGAAGATCTACCTGAAATAATGTTATGACATTTGCACTAGGGAAGTTATAAGAAGAAAGAGCTGCTTTATTGAACAATACCAAAAGCACTGCAAAACATACAACAGAAACCGTAAGTAGCTTAAAATAATTACAACCAAAAACTCAGAAATGACAGTCTATATAAGACTATCATCCTGCTATCTCATCGATTTTGTTTCTTTTCTTTCTTTTTTTTTCCATTTCCAATTGATTCATTTCCCTACAAATTATTGAAAATAAAAAAACATTCCTCATTCTCCTCATCCGTGCGCTTTTCTGGAAGGATACAAGAAAAAATGATGCCATGATATTCAAGAAGTTTCACGTTATTACTTCATTTAAAATCTCCAAAATATCTCAAACATAATAAGCCATCCAACTTCAGGAATCACATAAACAAATAACAAACAATCCGGTAAAATATCCAATCTAGTCACTCTAAACATCAAATTAAAACCAGTAACCACATTCCTAATCACCAAATCCACAATTCACAAAATCTAATAACACAATCCTCTCTATGAGGGGAAAAAAACTAACAAAAAAATCAGCTATACAAAATTCCTTTCTCTATAAAAAAACCACACACAGATAATTTAATAATAGATAGCAACATTCAAAGAAATCAGACCGAATCAAACAACGGAAATAAAAATTTAAAAAAAACGATCAGTGTAAATTGTTCAAGAATTGATTTATACCTGCACACGACATGTAAGAAATAGCAGCATAAGCTCCTCTCTTAGTCATTGAAGATCCTCTGAAGGCCTTCTCGTCCCCCTTGATGAGTCTCTCTTTCTCTCTTTGCCTCTCCTCGTCGAGTGGAGATACGGAGACTGGAAGGATTGAATTGGAAGAGGAACTCGAAGCCATCGAAGACATCAATTAGAGATCGATTTGGACTGAAATGGTGATTACTGAGGATTTACGGTCAACTCAACGAGGTGAGTGAGTCGTTGACTCGAACTCGTACGCAAATGCGAGAGCCGAGGCCAGTTTCGGGGCTGGCGATTTTTTTGTTTGCGCCTCGCCAGAAAGTTCAGAACATTGGAGTTTCCTTAATTTCGAATTTTTTTCAAGTTTGTACATAATTTCTTTTTTATCTTGCTAATGGGTTTCCCTGTGAATTTGAAATATCAATATTTTATTTTATTTTGGCGATAAAGTAGAAAAAATGAGATGACAAGACAAAAAATAATATGGCACAAGTCTATTTTTTATTATCGAGAGCCGCCGAGTGCCCGTGCACACCTTGAGGTATATCTATTATGATGGTTTTTAATTTTCATTTTAAAAATTCACAATTTAATTATTTATTTTCCATGATCAGTTTATGCACTAATCAATACTAATTCAATAATCATGCAATTGTAAATTAAGATAAATAAATTATTTTTAAATCTTAATTTTAGAATTTAAATTTTAAAAATAAAGTAAATGATGAATCTCTTGAAATTACATTTCAATTATTGATGAACATTTCTTCTCTTAAAATTGAAATATCCACAAACAATAAAAATAACAATTTTATTTTTAAATTTATATCAAGTACAAAATAATTATCATAAGATAAAACTTATTTATTCTAGTATTGTTAAATTTAACATGATTTAGGACCTAGTTTGAGATTAAAATTTAAATTAAAATGAGGGAGAGTTAGTTAAGTCAAATTCAGTTGATTTCAATGGTCAAAATTTATTTTTTTATTTTTATAAATAATATCATTTTAAATTAACCCAACTTTAACTTATTGATTCCATAACTTAAATTAAAATTTTTAACTTTGATTTAATAAATTTTATTTATCACTTTAATAATAAAAGGTAAAACACAAATTAAATTCTCAAACGGCGCATGATGTTTGAGTGATTACCATTAAAAAAAATTAAAAAAAATAGACTCTTTACATAGCTATAAGTTTTGAAAAATTACATATCTAATTTAGTAATTGATATATTAATTACTTAAAGTCTTTAATTTTTTTTCTTAATTCTCAGGTTTAAATTTTAATTAATTTTAAACTAATATAAATATATTTTAATCTTCCATTAAAAACAAGATTTATATTATTTAATAAAAGAAAAGATATATGTTCTCATCATCAAAAATATATATTAAAAAATCAAAGAAAAGTGTCATATTAAAAAAATAAATAAAGACCAGATGGGCCCTTTTGCTCGGTGAGGATAGGGAATGGGTCTTAATAGTTTATACGGGCCTGAATTACATAAACCCTCTTCCCTGCTGCAAAAGGCAAAAAATCCTAACACGACGACTTCTCGTAACTGGGTAAAAGACTCGTCGCCTGACTCACAGTCACAGCACCGCAATCATCGGCAACGGCACCTTCTTTCAAACAGAGAAGGAGACTCCGCAAGTCGTCGTTTTGAAGCCCTTCCATTGCTCAGGTCTCAATCTACCCTGATCAAATCCATTACCAACCACTTCTCTTCACAAACAATAAAGGTTAGCCTCTTAAATTTGCCTTTTCTGCTTGTGATCTTAAAATAAATGCGAGGAACTGAGCAATTATTTTTTTTGTTAAGAATTTAGATTTTGTTAAGTAATATAAACTGTTTGATTTAGTTTCTTTTTTTTGTTTGTTGATATATTGTTGCTGTTATTTTTTTTTTTCAATGCGGGTACAACTGAATAATTAACTATTCATGATTTAAATTATAAAAAATGACCGATTTTTCGATGGTTAACCGGAGATACAGTTACTTACATGAATGCAAGCGGCCTTTAGAAGCAATTGATATGCACCATGTTGTGGTGAGGAAGTGTAATGCAAAGGGTTTCTTTGTTTGTTTATCAGCTCTCATTGCTGTCGCAAATGCCGCGTCGTATCTTTTCCTAGTTAAGGTAAAAGAATTGTCTTTGCTGTGATTTAATTGTTCACGGTTCAATGTGATACAGTTTGATATCCATGCTTTCTTCAAGACTACGTAATATTGAAGGAATGGATAAGTGGGATTTGTTTAGTTCCTGTAAATTGTCACCTTGTTCTTGGAAATGCGTTGATGTCTCTTCCTAATTGAGATTGAGAATTGTTGAGTTCTAGCGTGATAAAGCTGATTTATGAGTTTGGCATTTGTGTTTTTGTTAGTTCTGGGATTCGTGTGATATTGAGCTGCATTATGCTAACCTTCTATAGAAACATTGGGTTAGTAACAATAACTGGGTTCTGTTTAGTCATTGTAATCCTGGACCTTCTCTTCATATCTTTGCAAGAAGGATACATTTGGTTTCATTTGTTGAGTAAATTAGCTGGTTTACTCTAGTGCTTTGAGTAATTTGTGGGGTGAACTAATGTAATGGCCGTCAACTAGCAGGATAAATCAATCGCCATTCTTTTGTGGGGCTTTCTTCTAAGTGTGCTCCTTGTCAAAGTAAGGTTTCGGAATCATGTCATGGAAGGTGAGAACTAGTGAAGTTGGGTTCTCAATTTTTTTCGAGAGCATTATAGTTTGCTAGCTTTCAATGGTGGGATAGGATAGAGTGCATTATGTGATTTGACTTCGGATAATTATGTTTGCTTTATGTACTTATTTTTATCCTTGAATGATAGAGAGTCCGTTGTGGCTATGCCAACTTTCGTAGTTCAACTTGAAACACAAGATGCAAGGTACATTTCTTCTTCTTTTTATTTGAATTTCATTCATTTGTGTAAATTTCATCTCTGTACAAGCATATATAAATACACTAGAACACATTCTAATTTTTTCTAATCTAGCAATATAAAAATGTCATGCAATTATACTGCTATGATTACATAAATGGTTTGGGTGCATTATATTGGTAGTGGTGATAAAAGCTACCTATTTACGGAAGCTTACCATTGGACAGTGATATGAAGTCTGAACAAGTGATTGTACTGAAAGGAGATGATTGTTTTCTGTAGCCGTGTGTTTTGTGTGCTGGCACTAAAATGATGAATATGCCAATCTATCACTTTGATGTGGTTCCAAATTGTATTTTAGGGGAATATTTAGGTTCTGAATTCATGTTTCCAGCATTTTTCTGTATTTTCATTCTCTGGGACCAAATTTCTCAACCATTTTTTCATCTCCGTGATCAACTATATTTCTCACCTGTTTCTATCATAGAAAAAAATGGTCATTGGCCTACCTAGCCTTTTCCATTGCAGGTCATTTTGCAAGGGCTTATGGGGTTGAGTTCTCCCTTTGAAAAATATTTTACCATCACTTTTCTCTTCCTTTAAAACATTTTTTTTGTCTATGCAGTGGAACAATTGTCCATCGCTTTAATCCAATTGGCAAGATTTTGAAACCGGTGCTGGTGGAATGTGTATCTCCAGTTACTTGTTCCTGGAGCTTGTTTCTGCTTCTGCGTGAAGCAGAACTAATGTTAGTTTTTGAGGTATACAAATATTTCGCATTTCAGACTTGAATTTCAAAGAAAAGATTTGACTGATTAAATTACTTAAGGAGGCATGAATTACATGAAATTGCAGGTCGTGGGGTATTACAAATAAAACAGGATCATGTATGGCTTTTAAAAACTAAAGATGGTCGACGATTGAGGATTTTTGTTGTGCTGTTTCGTAATTATAGTCTTAAACTTCACCAACTTGATTTCCATGTTCAGGAATTACGGCCTCCCGTGAAGATGTTGATCCCTATCTGTAAGGCCTTGTGTGATGCTTCTGGCATTAAAGAAGGTTTAGACACCTGGAAGGATGCCGACTACAGAGAGGAGACGCACCTGGAAGTCAGCAGAGTACCATTTACAGAAAAGCAGGCCTTAAGAGATAATGTTTATCTTATCCTCTTAACACGAAAAAAAAATTATCATTAGCCATTCCTACTCACAATTTACATCATCAATACACCATCATTTCATGAGGGACATTTTTCTCTCGGAATAGATTGGTGCTTACTTTTGAAGCCACCTTGAGAAATTCTGTACATGGAGATATCATCAGATTCAATAAAGCATATTCTTTCATACTGGGTAAAGGAACAGAAATTACCAACTTTGACTGATGGTTAACCTAATGCTATGTAAAACAAAACAAAATCATGATATTTCACTGGCGTCCCAGCACTCACCCTCACAGAAAATGACCTTTTGCGGCTTGTTGCGCTGGATTGAAGGAACAAATGATGAAATTGAAGCTAGTTATCAAACATGATTATGATGGAGCATGTTAATCTTGACTTCAAATTGAACATGATCTAGAGCAAACTTGAAACCTAGCACAAGATCCGTGAAGATGGTGGGTCTCCTTTGCAGACTGCTGACGATATCCGTAATCGTCAGGTTTGCATATTGTTGATAAACTTGTCTGAATACGGTTGCTCACGATAGACCCGCCGATCAGGCGGTACTGACCCTAGCACTAGAGAAAATGTCCTTCAGTTAATCCCACCCTCTCACGTGTGCCGTGCAGATATAGACACCAAGTATGGAAATTTACAGACACCTTCCCATCAATGTCCTGGCATGAGAGATAATCGCATTTTGTGAGAATGAGTGTTGATCTTTCAGTGAATGTGACGCAAAGCAGTCTCCATCCATCAAGGGTGTCGTATCCTCGATGTTGCCAAGGGAGAAGAGCTTCCTTTGTCAATTATGTTGTTGTTGGAGTTTTGTTTTTTCGATTGGAACTATATGTTTTGGTTTTCAAGTATTTAGATGTGTATTTTTGGAGTTGTATTGTTTATATGTATAATTTAAAATATTAATTTAATAAAAATAATTTTAACTTTAAATAAAGTAAATTTGAATAAATTATGAATTTAATTCTTAATAAATTTATTATTAAATAACAAAATTGAGAAAAAATTAATCTAAAAAACACAAAAAATGATATTTGAAAATAAAATTATGAATTTTAATAAAATTATAAAAATATCATTCATGGTTTCGCAATATTTTTTTAAACTCTGATTACTCTAAAAATTTAACTTGAGATATAACAATAAATCATGATACTCTTAAACCTAATTTAATAGTTAAATTGAAAGATATAATTAATACTGTAAAATTAAATAATATTTTTTAAAAAATATTATTTAGCCGAAACAAAACAACCAAAATACAACTGAAACATTTCGAACAGAATTTAAGTAGAATTTACTAACAAATTGATATCAAATAAGATGAAATCTATTTTAATTTATTTTATTTTTTAAACTAAAACAGATATATTAATCATTCCAAACATAATAAAACAGAATTTACGAACAAATTAATATTGAATAAGATGAATTCTATTTCAATTTATTCTATTTTTTAAACTAAAACAGATATATTAATCATTCCAAACATAATAGAACGGAATTTACAACCTTGCTTTAAATTACTATTATTGCTTAGGATGCTTACCTTACCGTCCCTCCCTCTGTGTAGGGACCCTACTGAGAGACAAGAACATGAATGCTTTTGAACTGCCCATGCCCACTTGCTTTAAACGCATGTATCCATCAGCAAATAGATCAAGGATGGATGTCAGCATATTAGCATAATTGGGGAAAAAAAAAATCTTATTTCGAGGACTGTTTTTTTTTTTTTTTGTCATTTGATATTTAAAAACATGGGGTATCCGCACAATATGCTGCTGCTATTAGATGATAATCTTAAATGGTAATTTCATCAATTAAGATATCTTAAACTTGAGTAGGTTGGTTGATAAAAAAGGTATGCTATTTTAAAGTCTGGCCCGATATTGATTTTGCTTAAGATTCAGATTGGGAGTTTAGGTAGTTGATCTAATTTTATTTTTAAAATATTTGAAATAATATTATTTTAATAAAAAAATATTAAGGTGTTTTATTAACGCGAGCCAAATTTCAAATTTCTAGTCGATGGATCATCAAGTTAATCTTACGAGCCAAGCCGAATCTTACAACTGTACTCTCATGTTTGAACTCATATCTGAGTTAAAATATCATGAATTTTCTAATTCTAACATGGACATGTTTCTGATTGGATAATAAGATAAATCTAGTTTTAATAAGTAGAAATTGAAAGAAGAAGGGAGTTTCCAGCACAATGAAAATTGCTAATCTTGCACGACATGCACGTTTGCTTAATGTTTCAAACTCTGATACGTGCGTATGATCACACGCACGCCTCCCTCCATTTTATTTCCTTTCAACTGTAGATGTGGAATGTGATGCAAACTAATGGCTAAATTAGGGATATTCTTGTTTGAAATTGTAAAGCCATTGTTTTAACAGACTTGGCAATGTCCATATGGGTTCACTTACCTCGTCTGTGTATATGGCTAAACATCCAAAGCCTAGAGATAAAATTCTTTGTTTTTGTTGGGCAAAAGCATGGAGTTAGTGTCAGATATTTGACTATGGAACTGGTATGCTATCAAATCCTTCAACAAACCCAACAAATTAAAAACGAAGATCTTTCGGAGAAGTGACTGCGAGCGACAACGATTACTGACCATAAAGTCCCAATTAACCATGTGGGGTGGCTTGATTTGTGAAGGTTAGCTTAGCTTAGCTTCCTCCATAATTTCTTGCCACCCCACCTGCAGCTGTAACTCTTTGCCTGATCCCATAGTACAGTTTTTCATCTCTACGAATTAATCGAATCCCTCATTGTCAACCTCCATCCATGACAGCATACTGTACCATAGTTTGGATTTGTGAGGAGCAAGCTAAATGAGCAACAAACGCTATGTAAAATTTGTTTGCAAATTTGAGTACACAAACTTGTAATTGGGTTCCTCCACCACCACCACACGAGCATGATCCAAGCCACATTAACTGATTGGACAGGTTATAAAAGAACTAACCCTAGCTGGTTTTGATGGTGTCAATCCACACTAGCCAGTACTGTAGGACTCTTGGGGCAAGCTAGCATGCTCGTGACCATGCTGGCCATCACGTGAGCTTCACATGGTATACCTTCTCTGTGTTCAAAACATCAAAGACGAGCTACTTCATGGGGGAATATTGGAATCCCACCCTGCCCTTCTATGGTAACCAATTACCAAAGAAACATGCACCAAACCCTATATTATATTAGTACTGGGGCGCTTTGTCTAGCTAGCTAAGATCAGTACTCTCCTCTCTCTCTAACATTATTGACCTTAGCAATGTAGAACTAAACTCCGACAAAAAGAATCCTTATTATTATAATAGGAAAGTAGAAGAGAGTGTTATGGTTTTAGTATCATCATAATCAAGAAACTCAAGAGAATGTTTTCTAAGTAGTAGTAGAAATACCCCCCATTATTGTGGAGGTTCTTGAATGATAGGGAGTTCATGCATCATGCATGATATGTTTGCCGAACTTCTTGCCGACATGCTGGACATGTATATTGATGAAATCATGTGCACAATCCTACAAAATATATTCTGTATGTTAGAAGAGGCATATGCCAATTATCAATGATCATAAATGATGAAGTTTTTTGTTCACTTAACACCAATTTGTCGTAAGGTAAAGACATATATGTATATGCAAATTGCACTTCCGTGCGTTACTACAAATAATTCGATTCTTTTAGTTAGTTATAATTTCACTAAAACATAATGCATTATTGTTAAATGCATCTTCTTATTACTTAATTGTGTGATTAGTAATATGATGTAGTGTTTTTGTAAAAATATTTTAATTTTGAAAACATTTAAAAAGTATTATTTTGATTTTTTAAAATAAAAAGTAATTTGAAAAGCAGGTTAAAACACAAAAACAAATATTACTTAACTAACTTTGAAATTAAATATTTATAAAAATTAAAATATTTTATGTAATGCATGCTTAGTTGGAATCCAAAGACTAATAACTCCCTAAAAGAAAAATGGTAACATTTTTTTTTTTTTACTCACAAGTTGAAATGGACCTTGGTAGTTAAGGTCAATCTAGTCAAGAAAAGCTCATGCTTGCCCAAGCTGAATGGCATGGTGCCATTTGCTTTCAATCTAATACTATATAAATCTATCAACTGTCCTCATACCATAGTACAGAAGCCTGTTGTATTTTCCAGAAATCATCAGACTATGCTGTACTAACTAAAAGTCATATTGATTTAGATTGTCAGTGGGGCATGGTGTACCATAACCAAATTTAAGAAAGGGGGGCCTCGAGTTGTTGAACGTATGGACACAAGAACAAGCAGCTGGGGTTCAGACTTGCGAGTTAAGACAATGACGAGAGCTCCCAGGGCTAACTGGTCCTAGCACGTTAGTGCACCTTTCCTTACCTGTCGTATCAATGCTAGGCTTTTGCCCGACCTAACTTCCATGTTGTCCCTGACTCACTCTCTCTTACAGGACAAGATGGCCAACTTCGTATGCCTTTAATTCTCTCTCCCACTTGTATATATACATGTTTCACACTTTCAAGCAAGAAGTATCCATCAGCCAACTCACCCCGTTTCTTGCTTTTGTTCATATTTTATTACTACTACCTTAAAGCATTTTGTGCCACCTTGCTTGCTTGTTAATCAATATCTAGAGGGTATCATGGAGCTTCAACTAGGTCTTTCCCTTCCAACCTACAATTTTATTGAAAACTTTGACCTGAACAATGGTGGGTTTGAGCCCAAAGATCAGATGCTTGGTTCGAAACCATGGATCAGCTGTGAAGATGGTAATTACTTGGACAACAAACGTAGCTTTGAAGTAGCCTTTGAAAAGAATATCAAAGATGCACCTCAAGAATTGCCTTTACTTTTATGGAGTGGCCAACCAAATGATGAAGATGATTGGGATGGAGAGAAGAAAATCTCTCGTAGCATTAACAAGTGAGTTGTCGATTGTATTATTTAGTATGATCAGACCCTTTTCTTCTTTACAAGTCTTAGCCAGGCATGCATAATTTGAATACAATTCATCATGATTTTACAGGAATGATGAAGAGGAAAATCAAGTTGTGGGGTGGCCACCTATTAAGTCATGGAGGAAGAAGGTGCTTCATCACCAGCATCAAGCTGGTCATGTTGTGAATAGTATTAGAATGGCAACAGCTGGGAATTATGAATATGGTACAGGATCAAACTCCAAGTATG